TTGTTTTCACAAACTGCAAGGGCAAGGCTAAGTTTGTGTAGAAATGCTGTTTGACAGTCTGTTACCTGCAGTAAGTAGTAGTTTGAGCAGGTGTCAGTATTTTGTAATGCAGATATATTTGTTGTAATGTTATTTGATCTCTTGAATAAGCTTAATATAAAGTGATCCTTAATGATCTAAATGAATTTCTGAAGACAAATCTTAGAAAAAAATTGACAGAATTTCGAGTGTTCTAGTTATTGGAATGTGATCTTACTGATTTTGATATGTCAGCTGTAAAAATAACTTCTTATACTTTTCCATAGGGCTCTGTTGGAATGTGCAGTTTTGTGAAATTATGTGCATAATGAAATTTTCATATCAGCAAAATTTCAGAGGAAATATGAAAGTTTTAGGAGCAATAATCCTTTCTTGTGGTCACTGAAAGCAGTGAGTCCATCCTCAGAGCCCTTTAAAGTTCCTCTAAAGTCAACTTGGAACCAATTCTTATTTCATTTTACTCTTTAAATACAGCGTGCCCTATTCATTATCAGACTTCTTACTCAGAAGGATTGTTTAAATAAAATCCAAAAATTCTCATTAATAAGCTCCCCACTGATAAATGTGGTTGCCACTTGATTATCAAACATCCTTTCTAAAATAACACTTAAATTTTATCCCGGCACATTAGTTGTTGATTGTCTGATGTTTTGATCTGTTATACTCTGTTAGCAGAACCTAAAGTAATCACCAACTTCTAGCATTTTGTTATCCTGATAGGAAATGTATGACTGGATGTTTCAAGGTTAAGAATTTTGTGTTAGTGTGTTTGTATGTGTATTATATTCTATAGAAATGAATAAGAATGTCATAAAAGTGATAAGACAGAAAACACCCATAACCCCGACCCTAGCCCAGCCTGTGCCTGTAGTTTGGTGTGTTTCTCCCCATGCATCTGCTTTTCTTCAAAGCTGTAGTCACAGTTTGTATGTGATTCCATATCTTGCTTTCTTCTAATATTAAAAACAGAAATTGTTTTTTTAAAGGCATGCTTTTTGGTGAGGAAGATTGGCCCTGAGCTAACATCTGTTGCCAGTCTTCCTTTTTTTTCCCCCCCCAAAGCCCAAGTACATAGTTGTATATTTTAGTTGTAAGTTGTTCTAGTTCTTCTATGTGGGATGCCAGCACAGCATTGCTTAATGAGCAGTGTGTAGGTCCACACCCAGAATCCAAACCAGCAAACCCCGGGCCGCTGAAGCAGCGTGTGCGAACTTAACCACTCAGCCACAGGACTGGCCCCCGGAAGTTTTTAAACATGTATCTTGGATGTAAGTTTTGTGGAATCTGTCTTTAGAACCCAAGTTAGAACACGTCTGCCAATAAATCCCTTTCATTAGTCTGAAAAGATAGTGTGTCAGTGTGTTCTTCACAAACTGTTGCAAATTGGGAGTGGGTGATCCCTGGAAAGCAAATGGTTTTCATTTTAAAAACAAGAAAGGGTCCTCTGAGAGCTGTTCGTGAGCTGGAGTCAGCAGTAGGAGGCATTTGATGGGGGTCACACCTGTGAAAGGTGTAAGGGCTGGAAGCAGATCAGGCAGGGAGAGCCTCAGCCCAGTGTGGAAGCTTGCAGCCAGCAAGCAAAGGTTGCAGGCCACGGTCAGGGAAGTCTCGCTCGTGTGCCTGAAGCCCTGACGGCAGGCTGGCAGCCCCTGGAACACTCACATCACATCACCGGGTTCCTTCCTGAAAGGACATCTAAGGGGCACACCCAGCCCACAGCAAGGGGCAAAGGCATTTTCCTGAAGCAAAGCAGGCTCTTTAAATGGTGTTTATTCTGGTGCCTCCAAAGAGCATGTCAGTTTTGTGTGTGTGATTGACGTTGTGTAAGCACCTTTTTTTTAAAAGTTCACTGTGATTTCACTGGCTCAGCCAGGGTCCCCGGGAGTGGTGCAGGGACCTCAGAGGGCCTTCCACTCGGGTGTGGTTTCTCTCCAAACATTGAGTTTCATCTTGGGGTTTATTCCGCCTTGAAGAAGCGCACTCATTTAGAAGGGAAACTTGGTTTCAATGGGACTTTGTTACTCTCTAAAGTAACAGTGGCATTTGAGTGTGCTATGAGATGCTTGCATAAATACTGACTGGCATAGAATCGTTAAAATAAAATGGTAATGTTTACTTTTACTTATTTTTGATATTCCTTCAAAAGAGATCAGAATAATTCACATTCCTGGTTTATACAGTAACTTTAAGTAATAAAGCAAAAGAAAAACCAATGCAGCACTGCAAGGTCATATATAACAACATTGTGTCTGTTTGTGTGCACATGCAGTTCTAATGGTGAATTATTAACTACTGAGTGACTTTCACACTTTTTGAATTTTGTTTTTCAACAAACAGGGGCCTTAAGATTCTTCAGTCAGTAATATAATAAAAGCCAATTGCATAAAAAATGGCCAAGGACTCAATTAGACATTATTCCAAAGAAAACATATAAATGGCCAATAAGCACATGAGAAGATGCTCAATGTCGTTAGTCAGTAGGGAAGTGCAAATCAAAAGCACAGTGAGATACAACTTCACATCCACTAGGATGGCTATAATCCAAAAAAAAGCAAAAAAGGATATGACAAATATTAGGGAGTATATGGAGAAACTGGGATCCTCATATTGCCAGCAGGAATGTAAATGGTGCAGCTGCTTTGAGAAACAGTTTGGCACTTCCTCAAAAGATTTACAGAATTACTGTTTGATCTAACAATTGGGTATATACCCAAAAGAATTGAAAACAGGGACTCAAATAGATTTTTTTTTTTTTTTTGAGGAAGATTAACCCTGAGCTACCATCCGTGCCCATCTTCCTCTATTTTATATGTGGGACACCTGCCACAGCATGGCTTGACAAGTGGTGCCTAGGTCTGCTGCACCCAGGAACTGAACTGGTGAACCCTGCGCCACCGAAGCAGAACACGCAAACTTAACCACTGTGCCACCAGGCCAGCCCCATCAAATAGATATTTATCCTTTCATGTTCATAGCAGCATTATTCACAATAACCAGAAGGTGGAAACTACCCAAACATCTATCAAAATGTGGTATATGTACAATGGAATATTATTCAGTCTTAAAAAGGAAATAATTCTAACACATACTACAACACGGGTGAACCTTGAAGACATTATGCTAAGAGAAATAAGCCAGACAGAAAATGACAAATATTGTGTGATTCCACGTACGTGAAATATCTAGAATAGGCAAATTCAGAGACAGAAAGTAGGTAAGAGGCTACCAGGAGCTGTGGTGGGGAAGATGGAGACTTATTTTTTAATGCGTACTGAGCTTCTGTTTGGGATGATGGAAAGTTTTGGAAATTGATGATGGTGATGGTTGTGCAATAGTGTGAATGTTGTTAATGCCATAAAGTGTACATTTAAAAATGGTAAATCTTATGTATATTTTGCCACAATAAAATTTTAAAATTTAAGACCAAAAACAGCCATTTGTACAGCAGGATGATAACTTGAGGACTGATACCCCTCTTTAGTGCTTAATCTGGTGGTTCTCAAATGATTAAACCCTTTGAAAAGATCACAGAAAAGGTCATGTACTGTCTCTCCTTCTGACAAAAATAAATGACTTTAGAGGAATAAAGAAAATTGGAGACTTGCCCAAAACACCTTTGTCACATTCTCTGAAGAAGTTTTCCTTCTAAGGGCCCTGTTTAAAGGAGATTTTGTGAGCCAACTTAATTTCCTTGCATTTTTTAACCAGTTGGATTCTCTTGTAAATAAAAATTTTGAAAATTTTAAAATGAGATTGGCCGCATTAAAGAAGAATTGGCTTTGGTATCGTAACATAGCAGTTTAGAGGCTTATGTGCTATTTCATCTATGAGATTTTTTTCTAGCTAGAAAATGTCTTTTACTTAAATCTTAGAAGGTCATTTAACTAGGATCTTTTATTGTAATGCATGACATCTATTGTTGATTTATAGTAATAAACCAAAAAAAATTAGAACTATTAAAAATGTGGTTTTGGCAAATGCTTCATTATTTTAAAACCACACTTGCCCTTTCAATTGATGATGAATCAAAATATTTAACCTACCATTTTTCTCTTATCTCTAAATATCCCCTCAATTGTAAAGGTAGAATTATAGAATGATTGTGTTCTCCTTAGTTTTCTTATTTGGTGATTTGTTTGCATTATTTTGAAGTAAAATTCCAAATTTTAAAAAATCGAATGACAAACTTTCTCTAATTGTTTTAATTTTCTTTCATTTACTCCAGACATCAGTTTTCTAAACCAGGGGTAGCCACGCTTTTTCTCAAATGGCAATTTAGTAAATACTTTAGCCCCTACAGTCTCTGTTGCAAAAACTCAGTTCTGCCTGTTGATGCAAAAGCCACCGTAGGTGGTATTTAAAGGAACTAGTGGCCATGTCCCAGTGAAACGTTATCTACAAAAAAAGGCAGCATCTGGAGTTTGCTAACTCCTGTGCTAAACTTCCAGACATTTTACAAATGTTTACCATGAAAGAGAATCCAGTTTGTTAATGTAGCTCCTTTGAGAGAAAAAGCGTCACAGCTTTTAGATGTTTCAAATGAGTGTTCAAAGTAGTAATAACTGGGGGGCCGGCCCTGTGGCCGAGTGGTTAAGTTCACGTGCTCCACTGCGGCAGCCCAGGGTTTCGCCAGTTAGGATCCTGGGCACGGATATGGCACCACACATCAAGCCATGCTGAGGCGGCATCCCACATGCCACAACTAGAAGGACCCACAACTATGTACTCGGGGGGGAGCTTTGGGGAGAAAAAGGAAAAATAAAATGTTTTTTAAAAAATGGTAATAACTGAATCGTAATTCCTATAGCTCTTTTGTGCTTTTCAGAATGTTTTCATAAACATGCTTTCATTTCATATTCACAGACACCTCATAGTAGAGTTGGGATGACCATCCGCCTCTTGCAAATGGGCGGGGTGGTCCCTGCCTCTCCACCCTTACTGAGCCCCCTTTCTCTCTGCAGTGTGTACTCTGGGCACCAGTCCATTCTCATCCCACCTTCAGAGTTGGAAACCAATCCTGCCTTGTGGCTTCTTGCCGTGAGTCAGTACAAAGTCCGGGATACATTTTGCTCCTATTCGGTGATGGAACTTTGTACCAAGGGGCTGGGCTCGCAGACAGAATCCCTCAAGGTAAGCAGCCCCCTCCCCCAGCCTCACCGTGCCTTGGGACACACTTTACATTCTCCCAGGAAAGCACCGTAGCACATGTCCGAGGGCATGGAAGGGGCTTGGTGAAGTTAAAATAATCCTTCACAAAAGCCGAGACATAATTTGCGGTCGCCTGAAGCTTACAGAATTGTTTTCATGTGAAAACTTCTTTTTATAACATGAATATTTTCCCACTGCCAAAAGAGTTGTAGATCAGAGAGTTTGTTACTGATGTCTTTAATTCCATTAGGTCTACTTAACGGGTCTTAAGTTGCTTTTTTATTTCTTGGTGAATTCAATTCTTCAGTGAAGTTAATTTTATTCTAATGGTGGTATTCAAGTCATAGGTTTGAATTTAGCCACTGATTTTGGTTTTCCCTGAACACCACTGTTTTGTAGGTCTGGATCCTAACCAAAATTCGTTTTTACAACTAAGCAAACAGTGGGGTTTTTCAGTATAATTACTCTTATGTGACAATAATAGAATTTCCCTACATTTACCAAGGACATTTTGATAGACATATTTTCATGGTAAGTTAAGTAATCCTTATCCAAGTAACTAGGAGGGAATGACCACACAACCTGTTTTGATTTATGTTTCAACCACTGTTCAGTTTGTATTCCCAGATATGTGTATGTCTTTGTATGTACAGATTATGTTTGTGTGTGTATGCACACACAAATTATCTGTACACATTCAAATAGTAAAGAATACATTTATCTCTCTTAATTTTGTTTTCCTATTGAGACCTAATGTATTAAGCTTGAACCAGAAAACAACATGCAAGATAACTTTGATATTAAGCTACATAAATAAATGTATAGTTACTTGAAATTATGTACTTATACAGGAAAATAAACTCATAAAACATAATTGTTACTCATGTCCATCTATATTACGTTATAAAATGATTGAGTACATTTCACAAACTTTCCCTGTAGGTGCATATATAAATAACCAAATGAAATAACAACATAATTGAGTGATTTTTAAGCACTTTACGTATGATTCATTTAACCTTTACAACAGCTCTCTGAAATAGAAACCATTATTGTCTCCATTTCAAAGGTGGGGAAACAAAGAGAAATTAAGCACCCTTTCCAAGTTCTTATATTTAATAAACTTTAGAGCAAGTTTTGAATCTCTGGCTCTAGGTTCACCATCTCAAACCTCAGGCTGCATTGCTTCTCAAAATATACACGTGTAAATAGATCCTTTGTGTTACCCAGGTTTCAATTTTTCCTGTGTAACTGTACGTGCATAAAATCAAATCTGTGTACTAAATTTCAGAGTCAGAGTTGTCTTGAATTGTGTGTCCCTCCTCAGTTTAGGAGTCCTTCCAGCTATCCAAGTGCCAAGACCACCTTGCAGGATGCTTGAAGGACTAAATGGTTCTGCTTGTGGTGATGGTCCTCTCAGGGCTCTCTTTTCCACTGGCCATGCCACCTCTCGTCACCTGCCTCATGTCTAAATGCAACTGCTACCACTCTTTGCCTCCCTCAGCTCAGCCCAGGAAGCCCCGCTCTTACCACACAGTGTTGTGCTTAACTCTCTTGAATTCCTCCTCCTCTGTTTTGCTCAGTTGACGGAATTTGGTGCAGAATTGAGATGTGCTTGATCATGTGTAGACCCTAGAAACTGAGATGCACTTGATCATGAGGATTTCTCTGTGACCTTTTGAGGAGAGCTGTCTTTAAGAAGTTGTCCAAACATTTTAGTTTTCCATTCCTGTATTAAAAATAGGTTTTCTCATTTCTCTCCACGTGTGTCCTGTGTTCTGTGTTCATAGGCGTGTGTACAAATGCTTCCTTTCTTCCCCAAACCCTTTCCTTTAAATTTTTTTTTTCCTGGACCTCGCTTCTGCCCCATCTTTCCCCTCGTCATGCTTCTTGCTGTTACTTCTTGCTATTAAGATATGTTTGTAATGGCATTGATAATCTGATATCTGTGTGTTTTTGTTTTGTTTGTTTACACAGACATCCTAAAACAGTTTAATTGATGGTGTGGACACAGAAAGCCCTTGAAATGATATCTGTGTGGAGTTTCTGTTGTTTTATGGGGTCTGCTTAAAGGGCCTGCAGGTCACACACCTAAGCACTTGGAAGGCTGACTTCTCACCGCTCTGGTTATTTCTAGGCACGAGGACTGGACTTGTCTCGTGTGCGGACGTGTGTGGTTGTGGCAGAAGAACGGCCTCGAATAGCACTCACCCAGTCCTTCTCAAAACTGTTTAAAGACCTGGGCCTCCATCCTCGGGCCGTTAGCACCTCGTTTGGCTGTAGAGTGAACCTGGCCATTTGCTTGCAGGTAAGTTTTGCTGATGTCAGTAAGAGCTTGAGTCAGGCACTCAGCATAGACTGCTCAACATGGGTTCCTGGCTGATGCTTAGCTACATTCAGAAGACACCTTTTCATCAAATGCATGAGATTGGTGCACACTTGTTTCTTTTTCCTTTTTTTTTTTTTTTTGTCCTGCATTTGTAACCATTATTCATAAATAGCTTTCATGGTGCTTATTCTATCTTGGAACATTTTAACTTTTGTAGCATGAATAGCAGTTTGCCCAGACCCCTGAAGTTGGGCTTTTTAAAGATTGGATACTAGACAAATGTTTCATTGTGGCAGGAAATCCTGTCTCTTGAAGTACTTGGTCTCCCATGTGTAGGCAGAAATTTTTGTAGGCATAATTTCAGGACATGAAGGAGGTCTGGGAATTTGCTGTGGTGATGGTAATGTAGAAATAACAGTTACAATTATGTGCTGCATTTCTATGGCATAGGTGTAAGCGAGGCCACCCTCATAAGACATCCTTGCACTAACCATGGCTTGAAAACCCTTGTTTTCTTTCTTTCTCTTCATAAGCCCACTTCTGGCCACCTTCACTATTCCTTTCCTTTTCTAACTCTTACCATGAGGTGCATGTCCATGGAGATCACTCTGCCAGGTTGGGATGGCCAGGAAGGACAGGAAAGCCATGTAGGCATGCTCTCCCCCAGTGCAGCCTCATACAGCCTCACCTGGACGAGCCAGTCCGGGCACAGCTGCAGACTTTGTTCCTCGAATGTATTAAAAGGATGAAAACTTCACTCACAACAGTTGCTGGAACGGAGGACGGTTGACACAAGCACCTCCTGATTTCCCCTCCCTGCCCTGCTGTCTTCCGCTTACGGCCCCAGAGGTGGTTGTTTGCAGTTACCCTCTGGGTGACCTCTGAGAGCCCTCAGTCTGCCTGCTCTTTGCCGGGACTCCAGGTTTTTGGACTTGGCCATGGACTTGGGCTGAGGAAGGACGCTTCCCATGTGACCAGTCCGATGAGATCACTTCAGAAAAGTTAGGTACAGAAAGCTTCTTGTGATTTTCCATTGGGGTTCCTTGCCTCTATCCTCCCTCTCTTTGAATTAGCTCCATTTTTTCAAAAATTACCAGCTACCAAATTCCTCTCAAGAGTCAGTTATACCTTGTTCTGTGATTGAAGTTAATTCCCTACTCTAAGAGGTAATCTAAAGAATTGGATTTATCTTGCCAAACTAGTTCTTTAAATATTGAAATTTTCTTTCTCTATTCACTTTTATCTGCTCTGTTTAAATGTTTCCAGCTGCCTATTCCATGAGGAGGAATAAGAAATGCAGAAATCTACTTCTTAAATAAGTTCAACCATAGGATGATCTAACACTTCCCTTCTGCACAGGTGGTGGGGAACAAATCAGGAATTCATGAGACAGGTGCTTGGCCACAAGGGTATTTCTTCTTCTTTGTTTCTCTCTCAAAATGTTGATGGATGAAGGGAGAAGAGCATAGCATAGATGCCACAACAGCATAATAACGCTTACTGCTTGTTCACATTCAACATGTTGCTGAGGGAGGTGTTGATACCGTGTTTGTGGGGAACAAACCACGAACAAGGTTGTGGCGACTCAGTGCTGCAGGTCCCTCCGTGATGCCTGCTTTCACGTGCTGTCATGTGAAACACATATGAAAGTCATGAAAATTGACAAATATGTCATTGTTAAGTACACACATGGGCAATATAAAGATTTAAATATTAGACAATCATAGAAAATTGAGACATAATTTCTGTGATGCTCTTGTTTCAGCTCTTATATCTTAGAAACTGAGGGATTTGTTTACCCATTTATCTTTTTGAGGCAGGAATTGCCACATTAATTATTTTGACATTGTCCCTTTGAGTTCCATGTCTTAGCTCTATGACAAAGGAAGGACTCACAACATCAAGTGTGGATGACTTTGATTTTACAAGAAATACTGGTATATTTTATATTCTGCAGAAGCAAGAAATTTAAGTATGAGCTATTTGTTATACTTAGGAATGACATTTCCTAGAATCTTTAGATGTCAAAATGACTTTAAAACAATTTCAATTTGTTGAATTTATGACAAAAGCGGACATTAGATCAAATTATAACTTCTGGGCTTAATTAACTTTAACATAAATTTCCCTTAGTACTATTAAGAAGTGTCACTTGTTTATTAACACACAGTATCTGTTGAAAAAGATACTGCCTACAGCCACAGTTACTCTTTTCAAAAGTATAAGCTGAAAGGTCTTTGGTTTTATTTGCTTTAGAAATTCAGTTCACTGTAACTGAAAAATTAGCATCCTCCTTGCCAGCAGAAGAAGGGAGGGGAAAATGAGGTCTTCTATTTTCCAGAACTTTTAAGCTACCTTAAGCAGAAACTTTGATCTTTATTATATAGAAAAACAATGATTAGTTTATCTGAGAGGAAAGCTTTATTGTAAATAGCTATGTGAAATTCAGTCAATAGTAATAGTTATAGTCAAGCTTAAATCTTGATGCTCACATAATGAAAGAGAAATATAGCCACCCTGATGATGAGAAGTAGAGTAATTGATTGTGAAAGAAAAACAGTGGAAGGCTCCGAGGATGACATAAATCTTAAGTAATTCTCAAAATAAAATTAATAGTTATAGTAAGACTTTCATTAATTTGAGCTCTCAATTCATTTTTCCCCCGCACTGCTTTTAGATGAGGAAATTAAAAATAAATAAAGGCACTCTTGAAGGTTTTGCATGCTCCAGGGAATTAGTCGCATTCAGCTGAAACTTTTACGTCCTCTCGGGCTGATATATGTTGTCCCAGATAATGAAAATTAACATTTGAGATCATGGGATCTGTATTCTCAGTTACGCAGTATATCAGTCAGCATTCTAATTTGTAAGTAGCAGAGACCACCTTTTGCAACTTAAATGAAAAGGAATTTATTAAGATGTCAGTGGTTCACTCTTAGAAGCTCCAAGGAGCCAGAGGACCGGATTTAGGACTGTGCTGCAGGAACAGCTCTGTTCTGGTGAGGACATCAGTGTCTGTAAGCTTGCACTGAGCAACTGGCCCTCGACACCAGGCTCCACCACCGGCATACCTCCAGGGCTGAGGCCATGCTGCAGACGCTCCACTACCAAGGGCAAGAGCCTGCATGCGTCCTTATGCCACGAATGGATGCAGCTAATTGGCAGACCTGCCTACCTACCTGCATGCTGGCTTCCAGGAAAGCTAGGGAGGAGAGCATCAGGAATTTTTAGTTACTGCAAAGGGACGGAGCCCGGTATCAACCAGGCTCCAAAAGTGGAGGAGTTCCCCAAATACAGATTGTTGAGATGCTTGGTAACCAAAAAGGAACAATCAGTGGCTGCCTCAGCCCATGCCTTTGGCTGCCCAACGTCAACACATACTCTTTGTCTCATTCTTATACATCATCCCTCGGCCCCTCAGTAAAACTGCTATAATGTAGCTTTCACTCTTAAACCAGTAACGCACCCACCCTCTGTCCAAAAGAGAGACAAGCTGATGCCCCAGCAGTTACTATGATCAGTCCTAGGTCCAGGGTTTTTGGGTGATGACCATTCTATCACTGACATTCTGTAAGCTGTAGACTAGATTGTGAAGTTCATTGCCATGGGCAGACGGACTCTGAAAAACTGTGGGGCAAAGCAAGGGAAAAAGAAGAGGCACATTCACTCCTTCCTCTGTACAGTGTTTTTGGATGTCTAATGTGTGCTGGGCACTGGGGATCACCACATTGAACAAATAATCAGTGTTGGATCTGCCAGTTCCTGGGTATGTCTAGCCATCTGAACATTCAGGAACTTTGAAAATAACCACAGGAAGAGTTTAGGGTCCTAATAGACCATGATGAGGTGTCCAACTGATGTTAAACTCCACAAGTTTCACAATCAGATATTCACTTTGGTTTGGGTTATCTCTTGTCGCAATGAGCAAGTGATTGTCAGTTGTAGAAAGCTCCTGGGTTTTAGTCCATGCCTTGAACCAAAAATATAAACACAAGCACCTGAGCTTCTCATTTGTTCTTTAACTTCCACAGCACCCACAGAAACAGTACGTGGCCTGCAGCCACAGTCCAACCCAGCAAATGAGCTGGATTTTCCCTGCCCTTGGCTCCCGCCAAATGAACTAATCAATTTCAGATTCCCCTATTGCCCTAGCAATCTGTTACCTGCAGCCACTCCTGATACCAGTTTCTAAATCAATTGAGGTGTTTAATACCAACCACAGAAAACAGTTCTGTTTGATTTTAGAAAAAATACATTTATTACAAAGGATTCTGGACTTCCATTTTTGATTAGGATATGTAAGTCACACGAGATTTGTTCCAACCCTAACAGTTAAAACAATCTGGTTAATTACAAAGTCATAGTTTTTAAGATCCATCAGAGAGCTGAAGAGTCAAAGAAATCTCAGTGGACTAAATTCTTCTTTGGAGAGAACAGACCTGCAATTGTTTTCATCCCTGGTAGAGGAGCAGGAGGAGGAATTTACCGTAGAAACCAAGGAGGCTTTTTTGAGAACGTTAGCAGTGGCACAGAGTTTGGCAAGGTGGATGAGAGTCCCAAGGGGCCCAGCTCAGTCCTGTGTGCCTACACCAGCTCTTCCCACAGGCCTCCACCTGTCCAAAGGGGAGTATACAGAAGCTGAGAGAGGGCAGAAGTGCTGAGAGAATCCATCTGAGGTTCTCTAGGCCTCCAGTGAATGCAAAGCAACAGACCTGTGAACTCTGAGCAGGGGGCCCTGGAAGAGAAGACATTTCCTCTGAGGAACTGGGCCTTCAGTGAAGGGAAGGCGGAGGTACTGAGAGCTGAAAGAAGAGCAGGGAAGCTGACAGCCCCTCTCCAGCAGTCCCGGATCACCAAGTGCTACCATCACACTCAAAAGACAGGAGGACGGGAATGCTGAGCACCTCTCTCTCAGGCCTCTTGGGGGGCAGTATGTTTGCCTTCGAAAGGCTGGGAATTGGGCAGCAGAATGGAGAAAG